CTGCACGAGCTACCTTCCGGAACCAGAAGAACATCCGAGAACACATTCTCATCGAATCGGGCCTTCATCTTGATGGGCCGCCAGATGTCTCGAGGTCTGAGAAATCCGGCTTTTCTACTAGCCGCCTCTGACGGTGCTATTGTTATAAGCGAGCTTTGGTATATCGCGTGCATCTTTGCGATCTCTTTCATCTTGTCGTCGACGTCGTCTTGAATGATGCACATCGCATCGACCCACAAATACGACAGCCCGATCTGAATGGTGACTATGGCAGCGTCCTGGATCGTGGCTGGCAAGGTGGAGAAGTCGACATGATCTTGGTAAGACGCAAAATTGGATTTCAACGTTTTCGCTTCTTGGTCTCCGCCCCAACAGTAAGAGAGAGTCGCGTAAGGTGCTACGGGTGGCGTAGTTGTGAGTTTAATCGTTGGATTTTGGGGAGTCCCTGAAACATGAAGCAATCTTGTGGGAACGAATGTGTTCGATCGAGACGAGCACTTCGAATGGGTTCTCTGGCATTCGTGCATCCATTGCTTGACACGGCGGTAACTCAGATCGGAGTTTGAGACTAGGTTGGGTGGGAGGTGGCCTATCAATGCGCTAGAACGAGGTTTGTCGCCTTCACTAGTGCATTAGCATAATATGTCTTGACTATTTGTATTGAACTGTGAAGTTGGAAGATCATACCAGGAGCAGGGTAAACCTCATACACCTCACCGTACCCATCCGCATCAGGTCCTTTCCAGGCGAGGTGAAAGATCATTTTGGTGCTGGTATCCTCTCGCACACTTACGTACGAAACTTCGTCTCCACTCAAATCTTTCTTCTTCCTACTTTGAAAGTCCGATCGCCGTTCTTTCGGGGCCCTCTTGAAGAAATCACAGCCAAGTTCCGCCTTTTCCTGGGCATATCGAGCAGTGAAGCCATGTTCAAACCCACGATATTCGTGCCCTTGATTATCATTCAGGCTACCTCGATAATTCAATCGAAAATGACGAAAATCGATTTCCCACTCCTGACAATGGGCGCAAGAGTGAGGTGTTAGGCCCGGGTGACTCGCCATCATCTCATGGAGTTCTAATGTGGTTGCGGCATCTTCCTCTGAATTGACATACTTGGCTTCAACCGAGTCGTCTACTCCGAATTTTCTAGGAAGGATCTTTCTCTTATCTGGAGTTGTGTCTTCAAGATCTGAACCCGGGGACTCGTGTTGGTAGCCTCCACGCGTCTTTGCAGGGAGCCAGGGGTGGCGGCTAGGCTACTTGTTCCTCAGATTATGGAAGATGGTGTTTGCGGTGGTTCAACTCACGTAAGCTTCCTCCACACTCCGCTCAACACGGCGCTCAGCTTGTGCAGTCAGCATTTCCAGCAACTCCAACGTGAGAGGCCTGAAAAACTACCCTGGGAGCGAACGGCTGACGATAGAAGCTCCCAGAGGATGCACAAGGGTCGGGGAACAAGAGATCATTTGGAGAGAAAGTGAGGCTAAGAAATCAGGCCTCGGTGCCGTGTTTGCCGCTTGGCACAGCGCCGCTGTATGGACGGGGCGTGTGCGATAGCCGAGCCAATCGTTGATGATGCGAAGTCTCTCATGTGCAACACTGCCTTCGCTCCAAGTTGAAACATAGCTAAGTTACAAGCAATCATGTGTGAATCGAAGCGCGCAGATTGACCAAAATGTCGATTTGTGAGCCGCCATTGCGTACAAGCCAGTCGCAGATGAATCATTTGGAGTGCGAGCCGTCAAGCCTACATAGGTACCTGTGCTAGGTATGATGATCCCCGCCCCGAGATTATCACGCTTCCACTTATTTGGGTTCGGATGCCGACCCCGATGCCGAGTTTGAGAAGTGTCGGTCTAAGAGACGTTTACCCATAGTGGGAGAAGCGTAATTTCATCAAGAGAGGAAATAGATATATCACGGAATCCCTCAGTTACGACGACTTCTTTCATGTTCAGATTTGAAAGTAGACCTTTTTTCTCGCATTTATGTCTTTTCCTTTTCTTCGTCAGTTTCGGACCGGATCACGAGTCCCATAAGCAGTCAGGATTCCACCAACCCTTGCAACGCTGTTGTTTTAGGCGCGCCCTTTTAATGTGTATGCATGGCCTGGGCTCCGTACATCGCCTGCTATTGCGCCTTTATCTGCCATCATCACGCCCTTACTAGATACGATCTGGCTATGCACCAATCACACGGCTCAAATCCATTTCTGAATTTACAAAAGACCCTGAACCAACTTACAAAAGGCCCTGGGGTGCACTGCAGTCGCACCAGCATCTACCTAAGCGAGTAGGCAGCCAGGCTAGAACGCGGGATCGGGGTCGGGAAGCCACGCTATTTCGCGATTCATTTAAGTATCGTTATGGTCGAATTTGCAACGCTGGCGAAGAGGGCGTAATCACGGCTCAAATCTACCCCTTGTCTTACCTTGACTTAAAGCCAGCGATCTCCGCATACTCTTCTGGACGCTTTCCTCTCCAATCTTCTAGCACATTCGGTTTGAAGTTTGCCTCTATCTTGTTTTCACTCTCATCAACCCGTAACTACCACCAAAAGCAGCCATGCATACGCGGCCCGTGACGCATGCCGACATCCCCGGCATCGTGGATGGCAGTGCTGCATTTCTCGACGCGGAGCTGAATGTATGGCTCTACCCTCGCCGTCGTGAATTTCCCGAATGCTGGCGCGCACGCATCGTCCGCGCCCTGCGTGCGAGTCTCGCAAAGCCAGGTATCCACTCGTTCGTCTGCGTCACCGACGACGAAGACCCTGCAGACTGGCCTCGCGGGAAGATAATCGGGTACTCCCGCTGGGAATGGAACGGTCGCAAAGATGATCCTCGCACTTTGAAATGGCGGTCCAACAACACCGGGGTTGCCAAGGCCGTGGAGAGGACACTGGTGGACTGGGAAAACCGATATGTCGACTACTTTCACTTGGACAAGGCTCTCCATCGCGAGCGCAAGGCGGTTTTCGACAAGGAGAATTCGGAATCGGGGAACCCTTACGCGCCGCTTGAATCGTTCTGGAACCTACTTACCCTCAACACTCATCCGGATTGGCAGGGCAAGGGAGTTGGGAAGAGGTTGATGGAATGGGGCCTTGAGCGCTCGAGAGAAGACGAAGCCCCAATCATCTTGATCGCAACCACTGCAGGCCAGCGCCTATACAAGAAGTTGGGATTTTTCATAGTCGGATGGGCCGCCAACGAAAGTATGGCGTGGGCTGAGGGGGGCTCCATCATGATTCTAGACATCAACGAGAAGCATACGCGCAAAGCGATAGGTGCCGAGACGAAGAAGGAATATTTCAGTAAAGTGAAGGAGATAGAGGTTGTTTACAAATAGGAAATAGTCTGTTCGAATTCATTTAGGCAAAGTCGGCGGATGTTAAACCTCAGTTCATTACCAACGAATACAATGCCGTACAGCATTCGTCTTGGCAAAACTTTAAAGCATGACTCGAGAGGCTGACATCTTGTTGGTCTCTTCGGCATTACGCCCGCCAGATGTGTCCTATCTCCGGGGATCAGTATGCCTGGACTACTCCGGTCGGCCTCCGGACAGCTCCGCGCCGGCCGTCGGGCGCAATCCTTCCTGTCCGGCAACGGCGGAGTGGATCTGTTTTCGGAGCTGGGCAACAGCGAGTTGTAATTCCGACCACGGCGGATGTTTAACGGGTCTTCAACTACATCACCAACACCACTAGCTCGTGGAGATGATGAACACTTAGAATATGATCTAGTACATATATATCCAGTGCCCGCGTACAACGTCGTCATGAATATCCCCTGGAACCAATGTGACTCTCACTTCAACAACCAAATCCTTCAATATGTCTCGTTCCATCTACCTCGGCGCTGATGCCAGCCTCACCATTCGCGATGTCAACGAAAAGTACGAACCGCAAGGCTCTCAGGCCTTGATCTCAGTCAAATACTCAGGCATCAATCACTGCGACCTAAACTTCGCCCACGTGGGTCTGCATCTTTACGTCACTGGCTTCGAGTTCTCTGGCGTTGTTGATGCTACGGGTCCCGATTCTAGCTTCAAAGTTGGAGATTCTGTCTTTGGCGTCTCCACTGTGCCTTTCCCGAAGCCATCTTCACTCGGTACCCACCAAGACAAGGCCATCGTGGAAGATGCCTTCACCTACAAAGTTCCGGAAGGGCTTGATCTCAAGGATGCTGGCGGCTGCTTGATGGGAGCTCAGACTGCCGCAGACGCCATCTTCAACATCCTCGGCTCCGGATGGCCGGCGGCTGGTGTTCAGGGCATCAGTCCTTCCGGCAGGCCCATCCTGATCTGGGGCGGTGCAACGAATGTCGGAGTTTCTGCCATTCAACTCTCAAAACAGCTTGGCTTCAGCCCGATATTGGTCACTGCCTCGCCCAAGAATCACGCCAAGCTCCAGGACCTGGGTGCTACCCACTGCTTCGACTACAGGAGCCCCAGCGTTGTTGACGACATTCGGGCCACCGTTAAGAAGCTCGGGGTCACGCTTACCACAGCCTTCGATACGGCGTGCAGTGGTGTTATGTCTCCGGATGTTGAGGCAGACAAGACGTCTCCGGCACTCACACGCAAGTGTTTGTCAGACGGCGCGGGCGTCGAAGCGATTAAGTTGGCTAGCACACTCCCAGTCAAACACGATCCGGATTTTCGCCTTTGTACCACGTACAGACCCCCGGGCAGCATTGGGGCAATGGGGGAGCCTCAAGATCCTGAGTTCCCTACTCGTACCCGTAAGGTGATGGAATATGTGGTGGAAACAGCCGACCGGATCCCCAGACATTCCAATGTCATTTTTGTCAAGGGAGCTGAGAAGGGCATCGAAGAGATACAGCGTGTATCACACGGAGCTGCATCTTTGGAGAAGGTTGTCATTGAGCATCCCATGTAGTCGAGTCACCACAGGTTTTCAGACATTGGCGGGATACGGGTAATGTCTAGTTATGTGCAACCAAATCAAAGCAATATAGATACAAGTACATACTCAGTAAAAGTGCTGGCCCCCTCCAATCATATCTACTTCAGGGCACCATGCTCTGATCTCGTCCATCCGCTTCGGCAGCCAACGCTTCGGCTGGTGGTAACCCAGCGGCGTCTCGTAAAATATCGTCTCAACAGCAAAGCGTTTGGCTTGGTCTTCTGTGGGCAGTCGCGCGTTGCGTTCCTGCAATCTTTCAAAGAACCATTGATCTTCAACCTTGAGCCTGCCCGGGTTCTTCTGCTGCTCCTTGATGATGTCGAGAAACAATCTTGGGTTTCGTAATGACAGCCCGCCATTGTATCCGTTTCCATGCTTCTTTAAAATCGGCGCGCCGATGAAGTCCCACTCTAGGAAGTCATCGACTTTACTTGTTGATTGCGAGCATAAGATGCTATCCACTTGGAACAGGAGAATTCTGTTTGCCGGCGAAAACAGCTCCCATAGCCACGGACGAACCATGAAGTATGTGACGGATTTGTGATCCGGGAAAGCCGTGCCGGGAGGGAGGTAGAGGATGGCGATGCGCTTCGCCTCCACTAGCTGTCGGAACTGCATCGATTCTGGCATTTGCCAGTTCTTTTGCAGCGTGAGGAGAACCACCGGCCACTTGGGTCCCAGAGACGACGCGAAGTGCAACATGATCGGGACCAGGTTCGGCACTTTCGCCGGGTGGGTTTCCGTTATGACCGCGACGTTATTGTTTCGGAACATGTGCTCGGGAAGGATATGCTCCATCGCCTCGGAGCTGTAGAAGCTTTCGCCCTTGAAGATGTGCTGCCCTGCATTGTGTTCTGTTGCGGTATTGTCTTCGGTCTTGTCGACTTCCATCGGATCTCGACGAGTAGTTTGCGCTATCGCCTGGGCTGCAAATCAGCATGAAGAGTTGAGAATCAACGCGAGATACGGACCTTCGTGCTGAAAATATCCCAGGAACCCAGCAGGATGACGGTGAAGAAAAGATGTAGCAGAGTTGGGCCCTCAAGACGTCTCCTCCCGAACGGGCCCATATCGGCTGTTTGGATAGTGTGCAACGCGGACTTTATTCCAACAGCATCAACAAGAGATGACGACTGCTGGAAGAGCGCTGGCGGTTGTGTCCCTTAAGAGTGAACTTGTCATGACGCGATCGTGGGCGACAGGAATTAAGGGAGAGCTCAGAGAAAAGTTGGAGAAAAATGGTGCCAGTCCCATTCCTTGGAGTCCGGCATTGCGCGTTCGCATGTTTTCTCTGATTCAGAAACAATAGCTTCGGGTAAATCTGGCATTTGATTTACCTTGTGGAATTTTGGTTCGAAGGCCTACGCGCCAGATACAATGACACATGCGCAACGCCCTTTGGCAGAGGCGCATTGCTTCCCGAGACAAATGTCTAAGCGAGGAATGCCGTGATAAGCCTCGCTGGTGTTTGGCTTGATTCGTGGCATCGTAGTGTCCTCGGAAATCTTGTAGCCCCTGACCAGAAGCAATCGACTTTTCGGCGAAAACAATCGCGCTCACTGTAGCAGATTGAACACCATCAACAGAAAGGGACGGGTTGGTGGGGATACCGACTGGCATTCATGGCTCAACTTCGCTTCTATTCCAGACTCATACTCACGATGAATGGGATCAAATTGCGTCGTTGAGGCTGCGTCAGTGAGACCAACGCACGTATCTTATTGTTCTCGTGGCTGAACGTCATGGTCTGGGCTTAATTCTCCGGAAGTCACAATTCGATCCGATCCATTGTCAGAAAGAAATGAACAGGAGTCTCTCGATGGTGGACGCCAGGGAGACACAGGTACGTATTGATATATCAGCATTCATTCCGTTCAGCTTTGATGGCTTACTTGGCCAATCACGTGATATCGTTTGACTTGCTTACCGTGACATGAGCAAGTCATTTTCTATAATGGAGTAAGAAGAACATCTTATTGCTTTTTTCTTTCCCAATACTACCATTTACTCCTTCAGCGGCCGGAAGCTCAACCATAAGTAGACCACCTCTAGGAGCAGTAGGCAAATGCAATACCGTCTCATTCAACTACCAAGAGCTAGATAAAGGTCATTTCTGGGTAGACACTGGTAGTCCTTGAAGAAATCTGAATTCAAAATGTAGTACACTCAGTGAATTTGTACTTGTTCTCTCGAGACACCATGCTCTTTAATCAGACGTTCTAGCCCGGATTCCCCTGGCTCAGCGTTTGCTTTGATCTCCATTCGTCCCACTTTGTACGCCCGCCGACTACCATCAACAATCTCCCATTCCAGTATGAAGAAATAGAAGGTCTCGAGGTAGCCCTTGGTTACTTCCCTGATGTTTGTGGCCAGAACCATCATACCCCAGCTTCCGGCGGATAGTTGTTCGGCAATTCCTTCTCTGCCCGCAATATTGAGTCTATTCCCGTTCATGATGGGATCTTCCAACCACGCAACCGGTGTTGACCATGAGGAGGTTCGGGGTTCCGCCCAAAAAGAGACGGTAGTTTCCGATGTGTCCTCCGTGATAGTAAGAAAGATGGGGACCGAAAGAAGATAAACGTCGACTTCAAGAATGTTGAACTCAAGCATGGGCGAAACCTGTTGTCTGAGCTTGATACAGTCTTCTAGCGTATACGCGGGAGCGTGTTCATTCGTGCGGAATCCAATCCCAGTTGGCCACAGAAATAGGTCATCTTTGAGTTGAATTGACTGTCCCCAAATAATACCGACGCCCAGAGATTTGGCCCAACTCCAGGTGGGAAACTTTGACGAGTGTGGCCATTCTGGTGATTCATCTAGTGAACCAGTTCTTTCCCAATGCCAGCTTAGGCCAGATACAAAAAACCTTTCGGCCGAAATTTGATCATGGTAAAGTGCAAAGGGAATGCCGAAAATGTTGTAAATTGGAGCTGAGGTCTTTTCAAACTTCCTAGAAATCCCCCGCAGGCCATGGAAGATATCGGCTGGATAAGTAAAGTTTCTCTTTGAGTATGCGGTCGTAGTCAATTTGAACTTTTCGAAATTGTCCGTGATCGAGACTGAACTATTTTCAGTCGGAATGAAAACCATGACGGAGCGCCAACTGCTGATACTGGAAACAGCCATGGCCGAGTCGTACTCTTCGACGACTTTCTCCGTGTTCGTACCAGTGGGGTCCAAATACCCCAGGAGTTCGTGAGCCTTAGACTTCTCGCATTGGAGAAATACTGAGGACTCGGTGAATATTAGTCTTCGGTGGGACAGAATGCTTTCTTGAAAGGTCCATCCTCGAGTATTCCAAACAGAGCCTTCTACTTCATCTTCAGGGTACTTGAGCTGAGCGAAGCTCAACGGCCCCTTTCTCCAGGTTTGCACAATTCTCTGTTTCTCAACACCGGGAAGCCCATAATTGTCGTCTCTTCCTGCGGCTGCAATAATTGTCAAGACGGCGCATTCGTAAATCTGGTCCATGATCTGGATCTGTTCCATTTTGTCGCTCTCATCGTGTTGGCGAATACAATATCTATCTACCCAGAGATATCGATATCCTAGATTTAGCGTCACTGAAATCGCGTCCGCGATGGTTCGTGGAAGGTCTCCGAGTTCTGTGTTCGAAGATGGCGTGGCTGTGGCTGGAGCCGAACCCCAGACGTAGCTGAGGGCGACATAGCGTGAGCCCCTTTCTGCTCGGATGATACGCCTCTCAACGCAGTCAATAAGTCGAATGTGTGGTGTCGGGCGGTTTTGATTCTTCAAGCATTGAGGATGATGCTCGTTGCAAGTTTGTATCCACGTTTTCACGAGATCGAAGTCCACGAACTGAGACGTCAGACGGGGCTCAAACAACCCCGAAATCCCTGAGTCTCTGACACAGACGAGGGGGCTTATCATTTTGGACGCCTTTTCGTCAGGGGGCGCGGCTGGTACTGCGGATATGTAGAACGCGTTCTCGATTCCGTCCCGTCCAACATTTTGGTAAGCCGTCGGGGCCCAGCACTTTGGGCCTTTGCCACCGTCCCTGAAAAAGCGATACCAACTCTTCGGTCGGTACCATCGGTCGAACGCCACGATTCTTTCGAATGGCCTTCCACATATTCGCTCGAATCTCATTTTATCTGGATTCAGCAATATCTTGAGAAGACTTTCGCAGAACCAGCATGAGGGAGGGAATCCGTCGCTTTGATGTTGAACCCAATCACCTTGCCACCGATTCCAGTCCGAACGAGTGGTCAAGTCTTGAAGATAAATGTAGTGGCGCGCATTTGCGGCTTCGTCCCACGCTGCCTCATCGAAGGCAGCCTCGAAGTCGATCCGCGCGCAATCAGCACACAAATTCGTGTCAGTGGGGCTTTTGTGGACATTGTTGGCGATATCTCCCGCATTAGGGATGTCTTTGCGTTCAGAAATAGCGGAACTTGCGTGACACAAAGACATTGGAGACAATCCGGAAAATGAGTATGAAAACGATCACAACCGTTTCGATCAGGTGTGATTAGGTCATGATGCGGGTTCAATCTGACATGGAAAAGCTGGCGGAAGCGGGGAAGCCTCGCCTCTGTCGACCTGCATGGGTCCAGGTGCAGAAAGCCAATGACGTTCTCACGACCCTGGTTGGCGTTCACGCTACTGTATTGATGAGCGATTACTGCGGCCGACAGGTGTGGATAGTCGTCCTGATCACTGGGAGGTCAACAGCAGCGAGTTCTTTTCAATTGCATGGCAGATACTTTCTTATAGTCGGTCCCGGTAGGCTTCAAACCTGATTTAGTTCTACGTCTTGATGTGTACACGCCAGAATCAAAATGTGAGTTGCCTTAGTGCAGTGGGACGATTGAGAGTACATGGAATGTTTCTTGCCGAGGTACCTAGGTAGTTACAACAGCAATTGAAGCCCGAATTCTAGGCTGAGTATCAAAGACATTTCTTTCTCTCGCAACTACCTAGGTGATTGACGAGTCGCGTTCACGGATTACATGGTTCGGTAAGTCCCATTCTCGTCATCCCTGACGAGACCCCAAGGGTGCCACGAGGTCTGGAAGCTTGGACCGATCTATGAATCGATCGGGTGAAACCCGTAATCCCCTCATCATACACTGCCATCCCTTGAGACAACTTATGGAGAGAAGGAAGGGGACTAATTTGGTGGCGGGGCCCGACATACCGACGGCGTTGCGCAACTTCCGGCCTCCGACATCAGGACTTCTGATGGCGTTGCCAATCCGTCAAGAGTTGAGAACGACTCATTTGACCTGTTTGAGTACTGCTGTTGTGGTTGCCAACTGAGCCTTGGCAGCATAGTGCTTTCCAAGCCACCGAGATTGTAGTCATGAAATCAGAGACAAAGGTCAAAGCTCACCATCGAGGAACACTGTCTGTGTCAGACGAGGTGTCCCGTGAGGTTGAGCTTCTATCAGAAGATGGCTCAGGGTATCTCAAAAGGATGAAATGGGCAAATTATAGCCGATGTCGCCGACGGCAGAGTCATGGCAATGTTCACTAATTCAACGCTTCGCTAGTCAGGCTGAAGTCTATCCTCACGTGGCAAAACTGTTGCTGACTATTTCGCGAGGCGTTCGTATTTCCGGTAGCTCTAGTCATTGACGGTTGGGAACCCATGCTCTTTCCAGACCCTCTCCCGCCGGATAACCCGCCCGATCTAGGTGGGCAGCGCACATTCTCCGCGGGGGACAAGGTTTGCCGTAGATGCTGTGCTTCCCCAGTGGGCGCACCACACCTGTGTAAACGCCATTTTACCTTCAAAGCATCACATGTTGCCATGTATGTGGTACAAATAGTCGCCGTCATCTCTGGTTGACAACTAGGTATGAAACAGGAACTAAGAGGTGTTCTTTTACTTAGACTTTGCAGCGACGCGACCTGCGTCGGATCGTTCACGGTACCCTGCGCGCCTATTGGAGTAGCAACAAGAGAGTTTCGGGCTAACCTCAAACCATGATTCAAGGTTTAGCTAGTACTTGGAAGAATATTCTTAGAAGACAGGCTGAACCTAGGCGTGTAAGGGCGCACATATCCTCAAATAATGAGGGGTTGCGTTATATTTGCTGCCCACCACGCTTTCGAACGTCTCCATCGGTTCCTCATGGCCTTCTTAGATGCCCGTTCACCATGTCAGCCGCGGCGCAACGCGGGACATTGGCGCCTCTCCCAGAAAACCACCGGCTGGGCTTGATCGTCTTGACGGCTTTCTCGCTGTTATCATTTGTGTCGACTACTGCCTTGTGGCTTTTCATCTCGTACAAGCTCCTTTCAGAACGTTTAGAAGAGAGAAGGCGGAAGAAGCGAAGGGCCCGTCGACGAAATGCATCCGCCGCAACAGCTGCCGCCCCGCAGTTCCCCGACCTGTCCCTCGGGCTCGATGCCCCATGCTCTGGGGCCACCGGCTTTGAGCGTATTCTGGAGCTGGACCGATTAGCTGCGGAAGCCCAAGAAAGACCGCCCGACACCAATTCTCAAGAAGCCGATGAAGATGCCGAGCCACAAGTGCGCAACCCGTTTCCGATTCTTGTTTACAATCTTTTGCTTGCGGACATGATGGAGGCCCTTGCATATGGGCTGAGCTCCTATTGGGTAGCAGTCGATGGTATCTTTGCACCATCAGGGGTATGTTGGGCGCAGGGCTGGCTGGGGTCGACAAGCAACTTAGCGGCCAGTCTCTTTCTCGCGGTAATTGCGGTGAACACTTTCTTGACTGTTGGGTTGGGTATCAAGCCACCACCATGGGCAGTTTACACGGCGATTGCTGGGCTGTGGATCTTCGACTTCAGCATCAACGGAGCGGGGGTCCGGGTGGCTGAAGCGGACCCGGAGACTCCCGGCGAGTCCTTCTTCATGAGAGCCAATGTGTGGTAAGATATACCCTTTCGCTTTGATTCCCTTGAATCGTTGCATACGTTTGAATGAGCTGATGTGGACTCCATGGCATCTAGGTGCTGGATCTCGAATGCATACGACCCATGGCGACTTTGGGCTCACTATTTCTGGGTCATAGTCTCCATTGGTATAACCATTATTCTCTACTCATTTGTTTTCTACACACTCTGGCGACAGAAACGAAGCTGTCGTCATCTACCGGAGAAACGTACATCAATCCACAGCGACGTACCGCCCTTAAGGGTCGAGACGCCACAACAACAGGAAGGCCCACGGCCGTCTGGGTATCACCCAGCCTTTCTAGCTTATCCCTTCGTCTACATAGCCTGCAGTGTCCCGTTAGTGGTAGGACGCATTACGTCCCTGCAGGGCATTGATCTTGGGGTCCCCTACTTCGCCTTTGCGGGGTGCGTTTTGGCTCTGAATGGGCTATTCAACTCGATCTTATGGACGACGACGATTCTATGCAGTGCGCCCAAAGATGCCCACGACACAGGCCTCGACCGATTCGCTTTCATGAGAACGCCAATACGAGAGTTCGGAAATACCGTCATAATCAGCGGCCCTGCTAGTAGGAGAGTTCCGCTTTGGGAGATCACCCCTGGCAGTAGCCATAAGCGTTGGTGGTGGTGGCAGCACGGTGGCCAAAGAGGCTGGGGAAGAACAAGGTCTTACGCGAGTATGCATGACACGCCTAGTTTGCGATCAGTTGAAGTCCCTGCTTATGAGATGCAGAGTCCAGCGGAGGGTCCACAGATACAGATGGACGTCGTGACAGCAGTCAGCAGTGAGAGAGCAGAAACGGAAGGAAAGTAGAGATGGATGGGAGCCAGTCGGACACTATCCTAGCTTAAAACTTCTGCTTCAAGTGGCAGGTAATTGTCTGGTCACAAAGAGTAACGGCCGAGGATGACCGCACCAAATGTTTGGTGCCAGATTTGTAGACTGCTTGGATTGGATGTTTTCTACTATTAACAGAAGGAATAACAAATGAATGTTCATGGTCAAGTATGATGCTTGTGACAAGAAGTGAAGCTTGAAAGTCATGGATCATAGGTACTAGGCTTTACCTACGGAAGCTACGATTGGCTGGTTGGTTCACCATGCAATTACGAACCGCACCATGCATGATCTGGCCGAAAATGGCATCTTCGCCGCCAACATACGAGCCAGCTTGCATACTCATCTCGCCAAGAAGAGGGGTAAATAGGGACATCTATTTTTAACTTCATGAGACACTTGCCTCCGCATCGCTGGCTTATCTCACCTTTGCTGCGCTGTAATCCCAAATGCAGTTGGGGCTTCAATCCTGAAGGCGACGCATCATTCAAGTAATCGGTAAAGTCACCACTTGCTATGGCTAGCAGTACCACAAGAGCCGCTGCTACGGCAGGCTTGACAACCAGTGCGCAATCTCTATACAGCATCCAAAGTCGAACCACTGCTAATCCAGCCTGCAGAGGACGACGACGATGCTCTTGTGCCTGAAGAGGTGTGATATACTTGGAGCATTTCAAAAGCATTTGAGGTCTGCTATTGACCTTCTCATATGTCCTTGGAGATGATAACTCTGTAGCCCAGGTAAGGCCTCACCGCCTCTACAGGTGTTGTCATCCGCGGAATGGGCTCACTAAATATGTAAGGAGAGCCTGGCTTCATCGACCACGAGCGTGACGAGTTCCATCTTGGAATATAGAATGGAAAATGAAAGAACTGATCATACCTACAATGACGGAAGTAAGTTTTCTGGGTTGCAGAATGAGCGCAATACTCAACAGTGCCAGAATACTCCATGCCGAACGACGAGAGAGAGAATGATCGCATGGGTAAGTAGCATTTAGCCTGAAAGAAACTCTCCAACTCGTATTAAAGGGTCTTAAACTTTGAGATCTGCAACACAATCTTTTCATCCGGACCTTCGATGATCGACTCGGCACCGCGCCGTCCAATAACACCGGCACAAAGGTTGGAAGGGTTCTCGACATCGGCACCGGCTCTGGTATCTGGGCCATAGACTTTGGTGACGAGCACCCCGAATCAGAAGTCAGCCCATCAAAACTCCCAACACGTACAATACTGGGACTTTTACTAACACTCCTGACTAGGTCATTGGCGTGGATCTTTCTGTTGTCCAGGCAGGCTTGTACGTCCCAGCTTCTTCCCCGTCGGAGCACAGAAGTCAGACTGTGCCTTACTCACGTCTCACAGCGTGCCGTCGAACGTTACTTTCGAAGTTGACGACATCGAGGAGCCTTGGACCTTCTCGAACGGGTTCGACTACATTCATAGCCGAATGATGACTGGGAGCATTAGTGATTGGGACAAGTATCTCCAGAAGTGTCACGAGTGAGTTCATCTCGCGCTCTCATTAGCTAAAGCAGAACTCTGAAGTGCGTAATATGTACAGCAACCTCAACCCTAGGGGCTATCTAGAGCTCAACGACATCGATACCGTAATACCTCTCTCCGACGACAGAACCCTCACAGAAGACACGAACCTCATGAAAAGCGTCCGCCTGTGGCACGAGGGCCTTGCCGGCCTAGGAAGACATTTTCAGGAGTTCAGCCGCTTCAAGGACACCTTAGCAAAGGTCGGATTCAAAGACATCCACATCAAGAGGTACAGGTGGCCGACCAACAGATAGCCCAAAGATAAGAAGCACAAGGAACTTGGTATCTGGAACCTTGAGAAAATTGCCCCGCATTGGGATGGCTTCATCATGGCCCCCTTGACTCGAGCTCTGGGCTGGACGAAGGAGGATGTGCTTGCCCTCGGCAAGGATGCTCGTCGCGACTTTGCCGACAGAAACATCCATGCTTACTTCAACATGTGAGAGAAATCCCATCCTACTTTTTGTAAGAAATGTGCCTAGCCTTTTTGACTTAGCTGGTCAATTTACGGGAGGAAGCCCTCAGCTTGAGTGTGGAAGCAGCTACGAATATATTTGAGTTGAATCAGATCAATCACAGCTAGCTGCTGTCCAAGATAAAAGTCTTTAGATTATCTTCTGAAAGGCCAAAACATCACAAATATAATCAACTAGTGGCTAAACTGATATTGGTTTTTGGAAAGGCCGCTGCTAATAGAAAGGCGAATCAAATTCTTCGCCCCGTCTTTCTCATCGCTGCAATGATCCCAAACGGTGTTATTTGAGATTGTTCCCTCTTCCAGGCCATTGATTGGCATATCATGCATGGCTAATCACAGTCACACGACTTATCCTTGCTGGCCTTAGGCCATGCACGACTAAAGCTGGAACCGCCTTCCCCCATTACGATGAATCCACATCAGTACCCAAGGTATGTGCTCAGGAGAGGTTCGCTGTGTAGCCTATCTACGGAATAGTCGAGCCGACTTATTTCTTTTCCCTGAAGCCCCACCCCTGACCCCAAGACTCTCGAGCGGGACCTTCATATCAATCGGGGCTGGGATTGTGCATGGGCAAGGTTTGCGGAAACACCCGCCCTGTTTGAGATCAGTACAAGGATCTTATACAGGGCAAAGGACTCCTCAAGCTCCCCGTGATGTACGCCGGATGCCACTTTGTAATAACGCCATGTCGTTTTGCAAGTGTCTTGACGTCAAATCAGAACATATCTCATAAATGAAAGCCAAAAGCATCAATCTGTGAGTAGATGTATTGCTGTGTACGTGGTTGCCTCACGGGTGTTTTAGGGCGGAATGTTTGGCAGCACTGAAGGGCGTTTGTGTATGAAGAAAAGCAGGGCGAGAAGCATCGGACACGTAAGTACACACTTATGCTTATCTTTTGTCTGCACGACGTGATCGACCGGGAAGCGTCCGACTTGCATCCAGCAGGGGATACCTCTATACACGCAGGCGACGCGGCGCCACTGAATCAGTGTGGGATGCCGAACTCTTGGAACTTCCTTCGAGGGTCAGCTGTCTGCCTGCCGTATCCAATTGTCAGACACACTGATGGCAAAGAGGCATAGCGGACTGTGACTTGACAAAAACGGATTGATTCTCGTGCAAATTACTCGAAAGGTACTTCAGCTGCGCGCCAAGCTGTCAACGACCCAATATTCTGGGCAACGGAACCCTTGACCAGCTTGCTTTTTCTCGTGTCAGGTAGCTACGCAAGATGTTATCTTAGTCAAGATGGCCCTTTGAGATAGATTTCCTGCAGTATTTGAGGAATTGGTTTTCTTTCACCCAGCAAGTGGATCGGAAAGAGCACCACATCTTTAGTTCACAGCTTCATTCCGACTTTGCCATGGACGCCGACAGCCCCACCTGCCCCCAAGACAGTAACTCAACAGACTGCCTCCTTCGAAACATCGTTCAGCTTTTGGACAGTGGCCAAAAGGCTGATGATGCAAAATTTGACTGGGATCCTCTCACATTTGTTTTCACCCTCATCATTGGCGTTGTAGCCCTCGTTTTTGCCCTCATTCCCATCATTCAGGTTATCATCGCCCCTGGACAGGGTAGCCGAACGACAAACCACCTTGCCATTGGCAAGAAATGGTCACAGAAGCGAGAACGACGATGGAATTGGCATGAGTGGACCTTCGAATACACCGCATCAACTCCCATCTTTCGCATGGAAACCTTGGAGCGCTGGATCAATAAGGATATCGCAAAGATCACGGGAGATGAGGACCACAAAGGCCAGCCTCTTTGCGATGTCAACACGACTGCCAGGAACAACACTGAGTTTGCAGACCTGGAGAAGTTTGCCATGAACAGATCGGAAGAAGTCGAGAAAATCGACAAGAACACAGAGCACAACCCGGACGACGTTAGGTCCGCTTTGGTCACAATATTCCGCGCGATGTTTCCATGGAAGACCTCATCTTCCCGCTCGAAGGAGATGCCCGCTGCGACGTGGATCGACTTTTTTCAGAAAGTCGGTCTTGACAAAATTGAACCTCGGGATGACCAGGGCACACGGCGGGTTACTGCTGACTACCTACCGAGCGACCTTGTGGCTGCTCCGGCCTACGCACAGATTGGTGTTATTGTCACAGCTGCCTCGACAACACAGGGAGGGGCAACCTGGACCATCAATAAGCAGTCGGAGTATCCTGTCATCTTCGGGCATGGCTTCCAATTTGACTTTCGCCAACATCCTATACTCGGAGTTCTAGGGGCGTACTGGCAGTACAGCAAGAAGAACAAAGTCAAGGAAGATCCTTGCCTTATCCTCGGCGACCTTGGGGCCAACTGGCTTTACAATCAGACGACAAGAGGCAAGAAAGCCTCTTGGCAGAAGACCCGCCAAGAAGATTTTCAAACAGTTCGCAGCCTGTCACAACTCCGAGTGGCCATACTCCATGCACGTGGAACCATAGAGACCGGTAAACAATCGCTGTTTCAGACGGCACCTCCTGCCCGCGAGAACGACCCGCCCTTTACGGCTTTGAATTTGTTGAACGGACAACATCGTGTCCAGACACTGAAGTTCATGCTGGCTGTATCGAAAGAACAGATGAACGCCTCCAGCATCCAAGAATCGTTCATTTTGGACTACGGAGAGCTTTCTCAAGAGCAATACATGCCAGTTGTTGGGTTGTTTTTGGCTAGCACACCGCGACATGTTCCTGCTTTATTTCCAACGGATTCTCTCAGCAAGAAGCCTCCACTCACGACACTTGCTCTGAACGGACACTACTGGACAGAGGTTACAAGCGAAGATGTCAGAGGCGATGACATGTCTGACTGGCCTTTGTCACTGAAGCCTCCGGGCTGGGGGGGTGTCCAGTGGCTCAAAACCGGCATGGCTGAAATCGGGCTCATCAATGGAAAGAGCTACGACGAACACGTCGAGCGAGTCCGGAACGACGTGGACCAGCAGTTGAAGCGCGGTGACAGCGAGACGCCAAAAGTAATCGTCTTCAAAGTTGTTCTTCATCTCTGTCTGAAGATGCTCCACAACGCTGATACATTCCGCACGTGGTTTGTCGACTATTCCCCAGAAGCCCGGTCCTACTTGAGATACATCATGCTTATACAACTAGAGCTGCTGGATCGTTGGTTTCTTGGTCAACCAAGAGCACACATCGAGTCTCGCGCGATTCTCGTTTGTAACACGACCATCACATTGATGCTGGCGGCCAACATCGCATCTGAGAAAGAAGACATGATTCATTCAACGTCCAACACCGGAAAGGGTAACATCTGGAACCACCATTCCCGCACGATTCGATGGCTGGACGACTTTCTGAAATCTTTGGGCCTTACTGATGGAACTCTGAATGAAGCTCATCGAAGCTGGAATATTCAACGGAGCTGTGATCGCAAGAGCCTTTCGATCAGTGCCGCTGACGAACCCAAGCGAAACGCCTCAGAAGGTCCTGGTGAGACGCTGGCACCTTTGGCTTCACAGTGGAAGCCATTCGATTCAGAGCTGAAGCGTCTTGTGTGTACCGTGTACAACAAAGAATGGGAGCTGTTCAACACTCATCAACTCTTGAACAGGCTGGCCAAAGTGGTTGAACTGGGGCTTGATCAGACGTACCGGAAATGGCGGCCCGCCCAGGTTGCAGGGGAAGACCAGTCGACTAAGACGATCGACGATCTGGTTATATATCGCTGCATCTTGGTTGCGATGCTGTTTCAAACAGCACCCGACAATAGCGAGTTACGTCGATCGGGCCTCTGGGAACAAGTCGTGGCTATCATTTAATATTGGCGAATAGATGGACATAGGGGAGATGTTATTACAAATGGGGATTCTTTTATATTGAGATTACATGTGAGACTGGTATAAGAATGCTTTTTTGTGTTCATGCTGCACTGCCTGTGTCCCTGCTTTGACACCGTATTACTCTGATTGCTGTTATCTCTCACCTTGCCCAAGAATGTCAAGATCGTTCGAACCAAGTTCTTCTCTGTTACTTGCTTCGTCCATATCGGAAGTTGCCTGCCACGAAACAGTCTATTCTTACGACAACCTCTCTCCCGTCTTCATTACGGACCTAGGGACAGATCAGGGTACAGCCTAGACTCATCAAACGTCGGACCCGGTATTGAAGTGAAAAACGGCGCTTGCCAGCTCGCCCCCATATCGACATGCGGTGATGCTGGAAATAGCGGAAAGTCGTGTCCGAATGACAGGTGTTGCTGCATTTCTGGAGCACAAGGAGACATGCCGAACCCGACGTCCTCAGCACCGAAGCCGATGATGGACGGCGATGTCTCCGTGAACGCAGGTGACTCGAAGCTTGACATGGTCATGCCTGTGTCACAACGGCTGTCATCAACAACGAGGGAGGGAACCTCGGATGTAGTTGTTGAATTAGATAAAGATCTGGCCAATTCGAATTCAGTGAGCAAGTCCAGCCCGTTCTGGCATCTGACCTGCCCCGCATGACTGATCTGTTGCCGCATGTTGTTCTCCAGGAAGTTCCGGAAGGCGGCAAGAGTCAAGTCACTTGTCGGTTCATCACGATCTAGGGAGCAGGGAAACAATCAGTAACACAGCCAGATCTCGTAGCCGCTCTCCTGGTGAACTTACAAGGAGACGGGACGGCATCCAAGGGGAAGATAGTCTTGTAGATCTCCTCCCACTTGGCGGCGCCTTTCATTCCCCGGTTCCTCTCCTGGATCTTTCCCCACTGCGTCTCGTCGATGCTGTCATCTCCTGTGTCCTCCTGTTTGACACAGCGGACTTCGGAACGCTGATGCTCAGCCAGCCCTTTCAGGCTGGGAAATCGATGTAGACAGCAGTTGCACCTGTGACCTTCGACCCTGTGCACACGCTTCAGGTGCTCCCTAGTAATATCACCATTAGCTTCAGGGCGACGCACGAAAAGAGTTGGTCCGTCTTACTTTAATCTGTGAATCTCCCATCCGGGACCACCGCACGAGTTCCACTCCTTGGTGCCGTACTTCTCCTGGTCATGCTTAAAGTAGGGACAAGCAAAGAGCTCTCCTGAGGTTCTGTCGTTGGGAGACGTAGGTGACGCGGACTTTTGGCGCTTGCTTTGAGCCGGCGACCTCAATTCCGCGTCTCGCCGCCTTTTACGGCGTGGAAATTTGGGGCTGGCCATTGGGATGGTATGGGACACCGGATCCGCCAATGCCACGTTGCTGCCGAGTCCGAGACTTGAACTGCCAAAGGGCTGCTCAGGCGCCGCCGCATAGGTCCATGTCGAAGACCGCCCGTCCGGTTCCGGATCGAAGCTCTGCGAGGCCAGCTGGTGGGTTTCCAGCGGCCACGTGTTATGGGTCGAATATTTATATGTGCTCGGGCTGGGCAGCTGAACCATGTTCACGCTGATGGACCGTGGAGCCTCTACATGGTCAGTAATCTTGGGCACTACGATTCTCTTCGGCGCCATTGGGTTGGTCTTCGCGTAGCCCGGCTCTTCGGAGCACTTGCGATGCATCTCCCGCAGCCTGTCCACGAGCTGGTCGCTAGCGATGCGCTTCTCCCCGTCCACCTCGAGCATGTCGTTCTTCACAAGGTCGAGGAGGTCGTGGATGAAGGGGGTGGCGGTGGGAGACTGGTGAAGCTTATCGATCCACTGCATCCTGTTAGCAAAAAGCGTTCTCTGCGAAAGCATCAAAGCCCAGACTTACGTGCGTCACAGCAGGCTTAACCCTCAACCCGTTGCCCTTCTTCCTGTCCCGAGCCTCGAAGAAGGCATCATCGACCTTGCCATTCTCCCGCGACGCAGCATCGCTACGTAGAGCCCGTTTCGCGCGAAAGTTTCGCACACCTTTCCTCCCGAGCGCCATCCACGTCGCCGCGACGCTCATCACGCACCCAAGCGACCAGATATCCGCCTTCTGCCCGTCAAACTTCCCGACATCATGCTCCGGTGCGCGGTACGTCGGCGAGCAGCCCAGCGGCCTGTCCGTAGGCGCGGCGGATGAGAGCCCGAAATCAGTGATGGTCCACCGGTCGTCCATGACGAGGATGTTCTCCGGCTTGAGATCTGCATGGTAGCCGTTGCCGGCTGCGGCGTCGTTGGTGGTGGGTTTACCGCGGCTGCGGTTCTTGACGCGGAAGTAGTGGATCGCTTTGAGAGCCTCCGCGACGCCGAGCATCTGCTTCGCCGTAAGGATCGCGTGCTCCTCGTCCGCAGGGCCGTCGGTCTGCGTCCAGAGGGACTGGAGGTCGGGGCCGGCCCAGGGGAGGACGAGGTATGGCGTCGGGCCGTGTTTGAAGGCTGTGAGGAGCTTGATGATGTTGGGGGCGTCGCCGAAGTTCCTAAGATTTGAGACCTCGTGGGAGAAGGCTCTGTGGGAGGGGGATTTGAGTTGTTTGACGGCGAAGGGGGTGTGATTCTGGTTCTGCTGTTAGCGACGATGAAAACACTGGTCGGGGAACGGACTGTGATACCTCTGATGCACCGAAACGGTGATGCGCCGGGTGAATGCGAACTTGGTAGACTCTAGAATGGCCGCCTTGCTGTATGACCGGCGCCACGGGCCCATCCCAGATAAACGGCAGAATAGTCTTCTGGTGGAAGCGGGAGGGCTCACCCTCAACGCCCAGCTCCTCTATAACAGGCACGCAGACCCTCCACTGCATCTCCTCGAACGCTACGACATCATCATGATTGAGCCCCGCAAGCTTGAGGTCGAAGCACTTGGGGGCGCTCAACGACCCGACGACCGTGCTGCTCTCAGCAGTCGGCCCCAATGGCAGATCGCCGTCGCTGATGGAGAGGTCCATAAACTTGAAGATCGCATCGGCGCGACCAATTAGGACCAGGATCGCAAAGGATTTGACCACTTGCGGCGATTTGGTAAATATGGTCTCGGCGAAGATGCTCCGGATCTCCTCCGTGAAGCCGGGCGCGCATTCCCGTAGCGTCCGGAGCGCCGATGCGGGGGTGACCAGCCTGTGGAGCTCGTCGTTCGGCAGGAAGGACCTCGCGGGGTCGGCGGCGCCGAGAGGGAGGGTCGTGCACATGGCCGCTTCCAGCTGTGCCTTCAGCGGCGGCGGCGGCGTCCCATCATCGCCGCTGCCGTGGGCATGCGGAGGAGGCCCCCATGACGCTTCGGTATTCGATTCATGGTTGACGATAGCTATGTTCATGCCGGAGTGGATTATTGAATTGAGCTTTTCTTGGCGTGGGCTGTACAGAGACTGACTGAATTCAAAGTCGATAAATTGCTTTCCTCAGGATGTGCTGGCCGGCGGGGCGTCGCCACCTTTATGAGTACAGCCTGGATGAACAAGCTGATATGCAGCGGATGGGCGTCATGGGCGCAGGGAGGGAGCCAAGCTGGACTCGACCAAGTTTCGTGCGATTGCCTTGAAAAGGCAGCCGAATTGCCTGCAACAACATACCTCAAGGACAGTCGGTGTCTATAGCAAAGTGATGCGTGATAACTCGCGTCTGCGTGTTTACGCGGTGCGTACATGACTGCTGCACAGTTCGTGGCTTGTACAATCCAGGGCGCGCGGGTCTGCTGGATTCCATTGGCTTCTTGTTTCCTTGCACAGCCTCCCTGATGAACTGGCTCCGCCCGAGTCGTCAGACGGTGAACACCGGCCAGCCCCATTTCAATCCTCTCTTAGCCGAACAGTCATACTAATTGTTTCTCAAATGGTTCTCAACTGGTGGGTGGGTTTAGTCCGCGAAACAGACAGAGCATGGTTCGCGAACCATGGAGAAGCAAACACGGGGAAGCACAGAGATCTCTTGCTCGAGATTGAAGCTTGTTTGCATGTTCCCATCCTCCCCGAACAAGGGAGACCCCTGCCAAACCACCCTCGCCGGAAGCCGTCCCGGACTGCTATCGAACGAACCTAACAATTAACGACCTTAGTCATACCTTAAAGCTCTCCTAATCGTGTACCAAAATCCCTCCCGCCGCCCGGCACTCTTTGACGAAACCCAAAGTCGAGATGCAGTTCATGCTTAAAACAACACCGTTCACCAACAAACCTTATCATTGCTCGATGCATATGTCATCTCAACATCTACTCTCACTCTCACTTTCGCATCAACCGCAATGTCCTTAATCAAACCCAAAAGCCACGGCCATATTCATGGAACTGGACACAACCAACAGCAACAGCAGCAACCTTAGCTAATCAAGTCCCTCTCAAGCAAAGGATCGGTGAGCAATGCCAAGAAAGCGCCAAGAAAACCCACGCCCAGTCGCCTATCATTTCGCACCACGCGACCCCATCCTCGACGGTATTCTTTTCGCTCGCCCGAGTGCCTGCCGCCGTGTGTGTGTTGATGTAATCCGCAGCCGCTGGAGTGAGTGAGTGAGGGAGAAAAAAGAAAAAAAGGCCAGTCCACCCCCGCACACGACTCTCTTCTTCACACTCTTCCTGATGAAGCTGGAAATCGGCCAGCAACGAAACCTCAACACCAAAACAACCCACCCCCTGGAAAGAAACGAAACGAAAAAACGTCATAGGCACAGAGAGTAGCATGGTCGGATCCGCCGTCCCGCAAAGCCTCGAGTGAGAGCTGTCTTTCACCCCCCAAAGATCCCCACCGCCGCCGCGCCGCTGGCCGCTCACATCTGCGCGACGAGCCTTTTCCTCCTGCGCCGTGCTGCCGTCTTTTCCGGGCCACCCCAGACGCACCCAAGACATTACCACCTCTTTACGCACTCTTACCTATCCGTACCTAACCAACGCACTCACTCATACCACGGCCGCGCGCCGTGAGACGCGAAAGGCGCCTGCTGCCGCCTCGCCCAATCGGCCGCAGTGAAGAAAAGAGTAAACCGTGTGTCATCGGTTTCCACGGCTCGGCTGTCTTGGCTTTCGCCTCGCGAACGCGGCAAGAAAAAAGTCTTGGCCTTAAGCAACTTCAAGGAACAACAAGGCACAACCACCAAACATCACACAAAAGGGACCGGGGGAGAACCAACAATGAGACCGCTCCCCCTCATGGGGTCCCTCCTCGCCGCGGGGATCGGTCCCGGGAGCGGCGTCCGGCCCGCCCTCGCAACGGTCCCCATCCTCACCGAGGTCGCCCTCAAGGGCTGCGCCGACGTGGGCTGCCCGGCCGGCGCCGTGCACGACCTCGTCGGCGAGTCCAACTGCACCCTCGGCGGTTCCGTCCTGCGCCGCGTCGGCATCGCCCCGGAGGTCCTCGACATCCCCATCGACGACAACAACATCACCGACATCCGCAAGCTGTCAGTGACGGTAGCCACCCTGCACAACGGCCCCGCCACGTCCTCCTCCTCCAACTGGATGAAGAAGCAGGTCTACACGCAGTCGTACTACCTCGGCGCGCCCGCCGGCCTGAACCTCTCGTCGCCAAAGTACCCCAAGGGCTGCGCGCTCATCTTCCAGCACCTCTTCCAGACGCTGCCGATCGCGCACGAGGTCAAGGACGACGAGACGACCGACTGCTCCTCGTGGCTGCAGCAGAGCTGCATGGACGAGATCACGGGCTACGTCGACGACTTCCGCGCGGAGCACGCCAAGGACGAGGACCTGCCGCGCTGCCAGGAGGTCGCCATGTACCTCGAGGAGCGCACGCGGACGGACAAGAACTTCCACTGCAACCTGATCGCGGGCGCGGTGAACATTACCGGGGCGGAGATCATCGGGCCCGACGCCCCGGATACGCCGGCGCAGGACGCTGGCGCGAACAACGGCTGTCACCCCACGCTGCCGGCGGCGTACGACTTGATGAAGCTGACGGACGTGGAGCTGATCCTCGACGAGGACGGCGGGACGACGACGCCGACGGGCGGGTTGAACGGGTACACGCCGGTGATGAGCGTACTGTTCGACAAGCTGCTGTATTCGCAGTGGATCTGCATGAAGACGATGAGCGAATTTGAGAGGGAGAGCACGGCAGCGCGGAGCACGCCCCTGATGGCGGGGCTGGTGATGGGAGCCGCCACCCTCATTGCGCTGTTGATGCTATGAGGGAGAGAGCACGGTGTGCGGATGCAAGAGAATGGTAGCGATCACAAGAGGCAAAACAGGACTGGCCCGAAATATTATGACTTTATGCGATATATACCCAATGAAATCATGGCGATAGATATGATGCGCCCTACCCAAGACCGTTCCTCCCGTTTCCTGAACGCCGGTGTGCATGCTTGATCTGTCTGCTGTGGATATGTAGATAATGTAGGTTTAGATAACAATGCCCCGTTGAACCCATCCGTTCTTGCCCTTCCAGGCGTAGAGGACCATGCCGCAGGCCACCCAGACGGTGACAGCCATGGCCCAGAATGTCGAGGCATAGCACTGCATGCCGTAGCAAAAGACGTCTCCGCCCTCTCCGGTTGAAGGCGACTTTGTAGCGCCGGACTGGTATATGGCCGAGTAGACCAGACTCCAAATTGTCGAACCCAGGGCCGGGAACATGGCGACGATGCCCCAGTTGGTGGCAAAGTTCTCAACACCCCAAATGACCGTGATGATGATGGGCGTCAGGCTGAAGACGGCTCCGTAACCAGAGCCGACAAGGCCGGAGACAATCCAGAAGCGTTCGCCGTGCTCCTGGATGAAGCCGGAAGCCAGGGCGACAAGACCCAGCGATAGGATGATTGCGAAGAAGAGGAGGAACGCAACGCGGGAAATGGCTAGTCTGCCGCGAATGTACGGTGGGCTCGAGGACACCTGCAGATGCTGTGTCTGGGGAGACGGGGCGAGAAGATCTGTCAAAGTGCCCGTCGCCAGTCGTGCGACGGTGCTGGTGATACCGACGATGGACACATGGGTGGCCGCTGACGTCGGGGGACCAACGTATTGCCGTGTAGGCGGGTACAACGTGCCAATGACGGTGCCAAGGTTGTTGATAAAGGCCTCGCCGGGTCCAATCATCAGCAGGAAGCCTAGGGCAAAGTACCACATGGTGCGGTCCGTGAGGAAGCTTCTTGTCTCGGCATTAAGGACTAGCTTCTTCTTCAGCTTCGCATCGTCCTCAACCGACCCAAGAGCTCCACCATCCTCTTCGTCGGCAATCTGAGAAATCGCGCCGTATCCTCTGCCGCCGCTGCGAGCACTCAGGAATGACGTGCTGCGCTCCAAGAGGCCGCTTCTCTCGAGCTCCTCGACAGCTTCCTCGATGATCTCCTCCTCGTCCACAACCTTTAGAGTAAAGGAGCCAACGATTCCAACAACCAGCAAGAGGATGGAGAGGAAGACGAAGAAGTGGAATACGTCCAGGTCCCCAGCTGATCCGTCCGGCAGCTTCTCGTAGAAGACACGGCTGCCAAGCTGGCTGAGCCACATGCCACTCAGTCCAAACGCAGCAATGGGCACCGCCAGAGCCAGTCCGCGATGCTTGCCCTTGCCAAAGTTCTTCGCACAGGTTGCGACGGCGGCGAGGTACATGGAGCACGTACCGACACCGACGCAGACGAACGCAAAGATCATCAGGGGATACGTCCAATCGGGGCCGCCCGAGATGCGCCTTCCGGCCATGTCGCGCAGGCCGCCGAAGTTCTCATCCTCCAGCTGGCGGTATGTTCCCGCAGCAATAGCGTAGCCTCCACCAAACAGTATCGCGGCCAACAACGACAGCGGCGGAGTACCGACGCGGTCGCAGATGTATCCGAGGATGGAGACGGGCAGGTAGAGGGCGATGGAGCTGCTGATGGCCAGGCCGTTGACCTGGAACTGGGTGTAGTGCAGGCGCTCTTGGAAGATGTGGCCATACATGGAGAAGACGGTGATGGAGCCGGCGCAGAGGGCGGAGACGAGGGCGGCGACGAAGGAGACTGCTCTCCAGGTGTTCGCGGAGCGGCGGCTTCGGCGGCGGTGGGAGGAGCTTCGGTGGAGGAGATCGAGGGACGAGCGGGAGCTCAGGCGGCTGATGGTAGAGGAGGCATCGTCGTCGTCGGGAGGCGCTGCGACGAGGGTCCGGTCATCGGACGGGGTCGGCGGGCTCGAGGCGCGCGCCATGATGATGGATCAAGCTTCCGGACTTGGGATGTCGGCGGTGGTGAGAGAGTGCGATTGGAGAGGCGCCGGCGTCGGCGGTCGGGAGGGTGACAGACTGAGGAGGGTTGATTGAATGGAAGAAACAAAACAGCCGCTCTTCCTCCTCCTCCGAAAATGCAGGACAGGAGAACCGGACCAGACCACGCAACGGAATGGATTGTAGAACGACGAGGAAGGAGAGAAGATGGAACGGATCAGTGAAGAGGGCAGAGAGGAGGAGTCAGGAACATGACGTGGAGACGGGAAGCCGAGAAGGAGATGCCTCGGGAAGGGCGCTGACTGGGGAAAGGCCGACCGACGGGCAATCGAAATCGAGATGGAGGGTAGCAAGCAGCCAGGCACGGCAACGCAACGGCACTTGGAGGAGGAGGCGACTTGGGTGTTTTGCTGCTTGTTGGTGGTGAGTCGGAGTCACGATTTCGCACGTCAGCAGGTCACTCGGCCACTCCTGTCGCATACCACCGCCGCGAATGATGTCGTGCTCGACCCCCAAGTGGGCCCTTCCCTGCACCACTCGGTGCCTATCTGCCCTTCTACCGCAATCCGTCCAGGGACCGCCTGGGAGCCGCTTCGGACGCTGACACGAGTCTGCAGCGCGTTCGCCGTTCGCCTCACAGCACAGGGCCGTTGCTGCTCAGTGGACCTGACGCCTTTAGGGGGGCGCACCCGGCTGACTGGCTTCTGTAGCGCCTGCAGACGGGCACCTGTCCGAAATCCGATCGCGGGGTGCAGGAACCGGCGGCAATTGGATGCTTACATAAGGCTGCCTACCTACCTGGCTCCCAATAGGTTCACGGGTACCCGTGCCTGTAAAGATCCACGGGTCCCGTGATTATGACTAAGCGACCCTTGCCATGGACCATCTCGACCAATCAGAGGCACAACCCAGGTTCAAGTTGCCCATAAGTCATGCGAGCC